ACCTGCTATCGAACGGTTGTCGGGAAGTCCTGCCTCAGAGAAAGCAAGGATGGGGATCGGAACCCGCTGTAGGTACAAGGATAATTCTGAAATCTTGGCTTGGAGTCCCCTACAGTTCCATTGAAGGATTGTGGGCACAACATAATTTATGTGGTCTGCAGGCATCGTCACTTTAAATTGAGATGCAGTTATAGTGTCTTTTTACAACGAGAGAATCAAGCTCTCCAGTTGTAGAATGCCTTGAAGTGCTTCCCTGTGAGGTCCTTGTGGCATGCTCATGAGAACCTGACGGAATGTCGCAAAAATTGCTTGAATTATGGTTACTGCAGGCCGATTTGTTTCTGTTGGGCGTCCCTCCAGGGCGCTGCTATAACTCTTGTAGCGTCGTGCCTTGTGCTGATGCTGTTGTTGGGTGTCTCGTGAAGATGACGAATCATGTGAGTGATTCGCGCTGTCAATCTGGTGTTGAGGTAGAGACGGAAAATCTTCCTCTTCGTCCGACATCTGTTGAGAAGTGGTGCTCCGTAGTCTACCGTGAGGTTTTCTTTTCTTTTTTGCTGCCTTCGTGAACCTTGGGGTTGGTGTTGTCTCAGCAACGTCATGCGAGCTTGGAGGAGCTCTTTCTGTTGGTATTTTTTCACCAGGTCGCAGAATTGGGCCGCGCAGAAACGCCTTCGTACGCGCCAGAGCTGCAAGGCGTACTTTGCAGTTTGCGTAATCTGCGGGATGAGGGTCACCACAGTTGGTGCATTTCCTGACATCTTTGGGACAGTCGCGGTGGTGATGCGGTCCACTGCACTTCTTGCATGTGAGGGAGCCTGTGCAGTATTTTGCCACATGTCCCATTGCTTGGCATTTAAAACACCTCGGGGGTGCATCGGTGTGCTCATGAACGCGGTGAGTTGAGAAGCCAAGGCTCACCTCTGATGGTCGTTCTGAGTTTGGGCGAAAGGAGAGGACCACTCTGTCTGTCGGAGTTGTCTCTGTGGTAATTCCATTTCGTCGATAAAGTCTTCTGACCGCAACCACGCCTTGCGGCTGAAGGTATTCTGCGAGCTGTTCCACGGTGTACCATCGAGGTATGCCTTTGATAAGTCCTTTGTTCTGTGTGTAGGCTCTCGGAAGAGACGCTTTGATGGCGACGCCGCAGAGTTCGGTGACTTTGAGTAACCGTTTCACAGCGGCTTCTTCAGCAACGTCTACGAGTAGGCCTCCTTTCTGAGTAAATCTATGGTGAAGAATCTTTCCACCTGCCGCCTTTGTTACATCAACGCTAAGATGCAGCGGGTTCACGTTTTGAAGCTTGGAACCGTCTATTGCTGGCAGCAGCAAGACAGGAACTCCTGTTGTCCTGTTTCGTCGGTGTGTCACAACTGTGAACCCATCGGTTTCATCAGTGGACTCCATCGCATCCGAAGAGTCGTTTTGGTGGTTCTCAATAACTGTAGCCTCCAATGAATGGCTTGAGTTGTCATTTGTTAATTCAGGGCGTTCCTCTGAGGCCTCCTGGATGTTTTCGTCGTCGTTTTGAGTCTGGTCCAGTGCAGGTGTGGTCTCTGTTACATGGAAGCCTTTCCTCATCGTGTAGAGTGGGTTGGTCCCCATTTTTGAGGTCGTTGCGTCAGCTACAGCCATTAGGCTTATCCTGGCTGTTGGTGCGGCCGTGCCTGACCACGTCTTTTTTCCGGTCTTTTGTATTGGTGGTTTTGTCCCTGCCACCAAGGAATGCTTTGGTCCAGTCGCGGAAGGGTTTCCGTGTTCTGCCGTTGGCTTTTGGGGGGCCATAACCCCCCGAAACAGGAAAAAAGGGAAAAACGCTGGAGCTATGAAATTTACTGCTCCTACCTTGGGAAAACTTCGTCTTCATCCTCCGTGACTGGGAGCGTTTTTGTTATTATTTTGTGTTTAATTAAAGCTTCATAGTGAAAGAAGAAGCGACATTTAACACTGAAAATTACTTTGTTTTAGCTGTATGGAAGTACACCGGTATTGTAAGCATTAAGATACCGTTCGGTTTACAGTAAATGTGCAGTGCGACGGCCAACTAAAAAAAGTAGCGCGCCTCACCAAACGACCGAACAAAAAATATTGATTGATTTTGTAGCTTTGCAAGACACGCCCGTGAACCTCGATTAGAGCTGTTCACGCGCACTTCTTTCCACAACAATGCCACAATAAGTTGTCCACGGGCACCGTGGTAATTGGGGTGACTCCTGCCCATTTCTCCCTTCCAAAAACAAGTTGCATGTATCCTCATTACCACAAAAGTCAACGCCGGCTCGAACGCCAGCCTGACTCACCGTCGCATCCAATCCACGGGCAACGAGATTACATAACGGGTATTTGGGTAAAATTACAACCGGGTTTGTCGAAATGTAAAATAAGCCACGTATCGTCGAACGCTCCTTACGTCTTGATCAAGGTTTGAGGCATATACAAGGTGTCATAAAAGAAAATTTACACGGTCCTTTTTACCGCAAAAATAAACTAATCATCGCCGAACGCTCATTCTCCGCCCAAATGTAGAGCTCGAGCTCACAACGAGATGCCAAAGTTTCAGCCCGATCCGATAACTTAATCAAAAGTTATAAGTGATTTTCCGGAAATTTCAATGGAAAAATGGAGCCCATTTTCACCCGTTTTCGGTTTCTGGTGCCATAGAGCCCCATCTGTTCGAAAACTCTGTTGGCCGCCATTTTCCCATTGAAATATTTAGAAAATCAGTTATAACTTTTGATTAAGTCATCGGATCGGGCTGACACTTTGCCATCTGGTTGTGACCTCTAGCTCTACTTTTGGACGAATAATGAGCGTTCGGCGATGCCTAGTTCATTTTTGCGGTAAAAAAGACCGTGAAAATGTTTTTTTTTTTTTTGTGACACCCTGTACAATAGGTGGTGTCATGCGCGCGTCGCAGCCACTAGATAATTTCCTTTCCTCGCTCGGTTTATTATTTATTTATTTATGAATACTGTTGGGGCTTTAACAGGTGTGGGGTATAGAAGAGCACTGAAACATACAACATCAGGACTACAATACAGTACACATTCAGCGACATTCACTTAAAATAAAGGGGCTGAAATAGCACAAACATTCAATATATTATATAGCACTCAACAAAATGAACACTCAGCACTCGAAATCTTTAACGAAGTTTCCAAAAAATATTTAACTACTATTTATCATTCCAAACCAGTCATATTCAAAAGGGCGCTCTCAAAATCATTTAAACAGTCCAATGACAATATATTTTGTGGGAGATCATTCCAGTTTTTCACAGTTCTGAGGAAAAAAGAAAACTTATAAGCGTCAATATTACATTTGGGCACTTCAAACTGATTAGTGCTAACGTATCTGAGTTCTCTCGATGCGCGATGTGTTAATCTAGAATCCGGGTTAATGTTATACAGGTGATGAGAAAACATAAAGAAAAACTTTAGTCGAGCAATTTTTCGACGGACAGAAAGTAAGGGGAGGTTGAGGCTGTTCAGCACATCTGTGACAGAATCAAGTCGCTTCTATTTGGCTAGAATAAATCGCGCCGCCTTCCTCTGAACTTTTTCGAGTTCACCAATTTGATTTTTTCTATAGGGGTCCCATACCGATGCAGCGTACTCCAAGGGAGGCCTAATATACGTTGTGTAGGCCATTAACTTCACTTTAGGCGGAGCACTGGCCAGATTCCGTCTTAAAAACCAAAGCTTTTTCATTGCTTTGTGACATATTTCATTTATGTGTTTACTCCAACTTAAGTCTTTAGAAAGTGTCACACCCAAGTATTTAAAACTATCAACTTCAACCAAAGGACTCCCATCAAGCTCGTAAGTATAAGAAAGAACCTTCTTAGTTTTGTTAGTTATTCGTGCGAAAACAGTTTTTTGTGTATTAATTTTCATCTTCCATTTCGAGCACCAGTCCTGAATAGACCCAACAGATGCACTTAATCTGCGCTGGTCGTCTTGCTCCTCGATTTTTGAATATACCAGACAATCATCCGCAAATAGTCGTACAGTAACCCCTTGATTTATTTCCGCCGCGATATCATTAATGTAAATTAAAAATAATACTGGCCCGAGTACTGACCCCTGGGGGACGCCCGAAGGCACTTCAGATACAATTGAACGGTCACCGTTAACCTCTACATACTGCACCCGATTAAATAAATACGCCCTGATCCAGAATATCACGGAACATCTGCTGGGGTTGCAAGCAACCCCAGCAGATGAGCCTTTGATAAGCGGCTAGTGGAATACACTGTTGCAGGGCTGGTTTCTCATGCTTCTCTGTGGGGGATACACGTCTTTTTAAAGTCGTTATCCGGGTGTGCCGGGTCCTGTACAACTTGGCGCTCGCGCTACACGCGTTGCTTATTGTGAATTCCACTGGTTGATCGGGCGTTCATTTCGAAATTCGCGAGGGAGGCGAAGATCCACTCCGTGGGACCCGCTGCAAAGGTAGATCATTTCTCGCTCCTGGAGAGACCCGTCGGAAACGGTCTGTCGTTCGAAATGACCTCTGTACGAACTTGACAAGCCCATTAACTTTGAAGCCCACTGAGTTTTTGGCTACCAATCAGTACGGTAACTGCCCAGGTGCGGAAGCAACACGCGACACATGCCGGGCGCATTCAGTCTCGTTCACAAAGTTGCGTTCGAGTGCGACTGCAACCACATGCGCCTCGTTAAGACTGCCTGCGTCGTGCTGTTGCTATTGTAAAACTTTCGGCGAGCCATCGGGGAGGCGCTGTGCTGCACGACACAACGTTGCGCACCGCGGTCGAAGCAAATGGGTGTACGAGCCTCTATTCGTACCACAGTTGTATCGTGCAAGTCAAGTCTACGTTGAATGTAAACCGCATTGTCATCTTTCCTAAGAGATTAACATGAGCCACGTGCCTAGTACCTGCACTGGCCGCGTCGGCCTATATTACAAACTGCTTACCGAATAGACGTCGTTGTTGACTTGCTACAGCCTATCTGATACATAGTGTCAGAAGTGGGATGCCGTCCACGTCGGTGATAGCTCGAAGAAAAGAGCGGAACGCAGTACTTTTCAACCCAATGGAACTCCTCAAGCCACCGGAGCCGCTGCTTCTATCCGGGAACGTTCCAAAAAACTGGGAGCTGTTTCGACAAATGTTCGAGCTGTTCCTGAAGGCAACGGCTTTACCAAAAGAACCAAGGTCTGAAGACGTCAAGACCGCGCTGCTGCTGAGTGCTGCTGGGGACAACGTCTTGGAAATATTCAAAAATTTTCGTTTCGCCGAGGATGAAGTCCAGGATGACTACGGAACGGTGGCGACCAAGTTTGAGGAGTACTGTCGCGAACAGCAGAATGAGGTCTATGAAAGGTACATATTCCGGACACGAATGCGAGTGGAGGCAGAGCCCTTCGAACATTTCTTGCGTGACTTGCGGAAACAAGCAGGCTGCTGCAACTTTGCGCAGTTAACCGACTCGGTTATCAGGGATCAGGTTGTGTTCGGAACAAATAATCCGAAGTTCCGGGAAAAAATGCTCAAGGAAAAGGACCTCACGCTGCTCAGGGCCGAACAGATCTGCAAAGCAGCGGAAGTATCGGCTCTGCAGAGCGAGGTGTTTGCGCAGGGGGAAAAGCTCGTGGCGCCCGTGAAAAAGAGGCAGCCATACAAGTGTGGCAAATGCAACCGCCAGCATGAGCGTGGGAGATGTCCGGCATTTGGAAAATCGTGTTTTATGTGCAGAGGCACTAATCACTTTGCGGCGTGCTGCAAGAGAGACCCCCGTGTTGGAGAAATTCTCAATGACCACGACAGCTTTGAGATTCTCGACGTGAAGATTTGTAGCGTCAGGAGCCAGGCAGATTGGATCATCAACGCAAGGGTGGCTGACCAGACAGTCTTCTTGAAGGTGGACATGGGCTCTCAAGCTAACTTGCTGCCCAACTCTGTCTATCGAAATTGCATGGACAAGGCAAGCTTGACGCCAAGCAGCTCCGTGCTTCGAGCACACAACGGAGACGTCATCAAGCACATCGGCGTAGCGAGCCTACTAGTATTTGCGAACAGTCACTCGGGAGACATCGACTTACTTCATTGTCAAGAAAGGCAACCAGGCAATACTCGGACTGCTTGCAAGCGAGGCGCACGGACTTGTGTCTCGCTCTGTGGATTCTGCGAACAGCAGTGGCACGAACAGAATTGTAAAGGAATTTCACTCATTGTTCGAAGGCACAGGCTGCGTGACACGACAGTACCAGATGATCCTGCGAAAGGACGCGACACCGGTGGTCCAGCCGGCACGATGGGTGGCCCTGGCACTCCGAGAGCCCCTTCGAGAAGAGCTGGAGCGCATGGAACGGGGAGGCAGCATACAAAAGGCCAACAAGCCAACGGACTGGGTGAGTCCCCTCGTCCTCGTACGAAAAAAAAGACGGCAAACTCCGCGTTCGCATTGGCCCCAGACGTATTAACGATTGTCTAAAGCGCGAACACTGCCCGATGGCTAAGCGCGAGGACATTGAGGCCGAACTAGTGGGGGCCAGACCCTTTTCCCGTCTCGACGCGTACTCTGGGCTCCAACAAATTTCCTTAGATGAGGCCACTTCGACCATTTGCACGCTCCGCACGCCTTTCGGGCGTTACCCGTTATTGAGGCTTCCCTTCGGGATAGCATCGGCACCTGAGGTTTTTCAGAAAACTGTAAGCGAGATCTTTGACTCGGCCCCGGGAGTACGTGTGTACATTGACGATATTTTGATCTGGGGAGCAACGCAAGAGGAACACGATGCGCGCCTCCGAAACGCATTGCAGTTGGCCAGGCGGGCTGGCTTGACCTTCACTGCCGACAAGTGCAAGTTTGGGCTAACGGAGATCGACTACTTGGGTGACGTCATAAGCCAGGAAGGGATAAGGCCGAGCTCCGCGTTAGTCACGTCGCTAGGCGAAATGTCGTGCCCAGGGACAAGGGGGCCGTGCATAGAATGCTTGGAGTAGCCAATTACTTTGGAAAATACTTACCGAATTTAGCGGCAAGAACAAAACTTTTGCGTGGTCTCATTCAAAAAGACACAGTCTTCGATTGGACGGACAACCACGCCAAGGAAAGGAAGGAAATCTGCGTAATGCTTAATAGTGCGCCTTTGCTGGCTATATTTGATTCAGCCCGAGAAACAAAAATCTCTTTTGACGCGTCAAGAAATGGGCTGGGAGCCGCACTAATACAGCGTCACGGCGACAGCTGGCGGCCTGTAGCTTACGGATCACGGGTTATGACAGGCCCAGAACAAAGATATTCGCAGATTGAAAAGGAAGCGATGGGTATCACTTTTGGCTGCGAGAAATTTCACGACTTTGTGTATGATCGTAACATACTAATCGAAACAGACCACCGGCCACTGATAGCGATTGCTTCGAAAGGAATTGGTGACATGCTTTCGCGACTTCAGCATTTTTTCCTGCGTTTACTTAGGCACGATTACGCCCTTCAATTCGTACCAGTAAATCTCCTCACCGACATGCTCCTCACCGACATGCTGTCAAGGTCATCACCAGTGAAGACCGGAGGTACCGCCGGCTCGACCGAAGATGTGGAAGTTCACGCCCTGATCGTGGTCGCGGGCTTGGTAAGTGAAAAAACCTTGAATCGCCTGGCTGAAGCGACCGCAAAAAACCCGGACTTGCAGTCAATCATACGCTACATGAACGGCAGCGGTGATGTGGAAGGCCAACTGAAACCACTAGTTTCCGTGTTATCACTTGTTCAAGGAACTGTATTGAAGGTGAGCAGAGTGGTGATCCCAAAGTCCATGAGGCCGGGAATTCTTAAACGAATCCATGAAGGACATTTGGGCCTTAACAAGTGCCCGACGCTCGGTGTTCTGGCCTGGGCTTAACTCGGACATTGAAACTTTGCTGCAAGGCTGCGCCGTGTGCCGAAAGTATGCGTACTGACAACCGAGCGAGCCTCTTATAGAAAAGTCAACGCCAGATCACCGATGGTACAGAGTTGGGATTGACCTCTTTCAGCATGGGGGAGTTCGTACCTGTGTGTATGGATGCGCTTTCTAAGTTTCCGGAGGTGGAAAAACTAGGGGACACCGCGGCACGCGCCGTTATTTCAAAGTTGAGCGCTATCTTCTCAAGATACAGAATCCCGATGGAAGTGTGCAGCCCGACAACGGTCCGCAGTTTTCATCTCATGACTTTGCCGTTTTTGCTTCCAGATACGATTTCAAACATGTGACGTCGAGCCCACAGTTTCCCCAATCAAACGGACTCGCCGTAAAAGGGGTGCAGAATGTCAAGCGAATCCTGAAGAAGACTGAAGAGGCCCACGAGGTCTTCTGGCTTGGACTGCTTAGCTACCGGTCCACACCACTAGAAGATGGTCGATCGCCGGGAGAGCTGCTACAAGGCAGAAGGTTTCGCGGCCGACTTCCTGACTTCAACCAACAATTACGCAGGTGTGTTTTTGAGCACGAGCAACTGGCAACGCGAGGAAGGAGTCTGATCGAACTCAAGAAAGGGGAGGTCGTGAGGGTGAGAGACAAAGTGTGGGGCCTGCAGTGAGCTCCTGTTTTGTGTTCAGAGGCACCAAGATCGTATCGGGTTGTTACCGAGGGCAACCGAGTTCTTCGACGCAACCGACGACATCTTTTTGCAACAGGCGAGCCCTTTAGTGAAGAGGCTGCCGAAATCAATAACTCGGATAGTGACAGTCCTTCCGAGGCAGTAGCTGCGGCAACACCACTCTCCTGCCACAAACCCACCAACGCCGCCGGCTGACAAGCGTCTAACACCTGCGGCTCCGAGGCGATCCACACGGCAAACCCGAAAACCAGAGCGGCTGCAGTACGATCACAACTTGGCACAACTCCAGCGTATTTATAATTGGAACTCTTAATCGCATTCGTAGACAGAGGAAAATGTATCGTGCAAGTCACGTCTACGTTGAATGTAAACCGCATTGTCATTTTTCCTAAGAGATTAACATGAGCCACGTGCCTAGTATCTGTACTGGCAGCGTCGGCCTATATTACTAATTGCTTACCGAATAAACTTCGTTGTTGACTTGCTACAGCCTGTCGGATACACACGGTGATCATATAACAAATAGCGAAAAAGAAGTTCGCGTTGGTCACTGTCCTCAAAATCAATATCGGCGGGACACGCTAAGCGATCGCCAGCGATACAGCTGATTGCTGGTGAGACTAACAAGCACAAAGAGCGAGCAAACCTCACTTGCGCGGCCGTTGTCTAGTCTGTTCTTGCTTTATCGCACAAAGTAAAGCCGGCGAGAATTCAGTGGCGTAGCCTGGGAAAATTTCAGCTCCCCCCCCTCCCCCCCCCCCCCAAAAAAAAAAAGACAACCCAACCGACCCTATATTGATATTTGCAAGTACGGCCTCTGGGCTCCGCAATCTTGCGGCTGATGTCAGTAGACAGTATGCAAACAAAGCATTGCTAAGGCGTACCTGATAGTCAACCATTGTTGGGGCGCACCCAGAGTTCAGTAATGCTTGACTATCGGACAATCTACCTACACGAGCAGCAAGATGGACGCGTCCAGGAGCTGTACTTGCAACCGTCTGCAGACCTCGGAACAATACATATCTGTCTCCTGTTTTTTTACGTTTTGTTTTCTTCGTATTGAATAAACTTGCCGTAGCTTCTGTTTCTAGGCAATGCAGCCGCCAAAAAAATTCAAGAAATGTGAGCATCGTTCAACCCCATAATAATTCTGTTGGGTGTATGTTTTTACTGCAGGAATTTAGTCATCCCAATGGGCGTCTGGTTCCTCAGCTGTAGATGAGAACCTTTCCCCGTGCAGTACAGCCGCTAACCTCTTAATATGCACCAAGCAGCTGGGAAACACGACCGCACGCCGGTACGATACTCGTCCAGATCGAAGCGGGGAGGGGTGGGGATTGAGCCCAGGATCCCTGGGCTCTGCAACGCGAGGCTTTGCTCCACGTGTTCCGATCTGGTGTACGGTAGCCGACTTTGGAAACTGATCTGTCTCGTCCTGTCTCGCCTTGGTCCTGATTTTCCGAGACAATCGAAAAGGCTCTCTCAAATTGCGCTTGGCCAGTCGACAACAACATATGGCGCCAGCCACCCCTCCTAATTTCAAAAAGAGAAGCCCGAGGCTGCGACATAGACAGCCGTCCAACCTAAGCAAAACCTGTTCGCACCGACGCTATCGCATTGTTGTTGAGCTAGATGTACCGGGAGTTCCTGAGAAGAAAGAACTGTGCTATTCTGCCCGGGTAAATCAACTATGCATCGCAGAAAGTTTATACTCCGTGAAAATGTGACGCTAGTGGTTGGGACGGACCGCGAAAGCTTGAGGGCATAACGTTATTTGGATCAAGATACAATATATAAAACGAAACTTCTCTATTATCCCGGGTGAACCCATAACGCTAATTTATTCGAAACAAGAAATGACACTGTGGGCGCTGTCGCATTTATTTCATTAAAAAAAAAAAAAAAACAATGTCCTCTCCCCTTCTCACGACTGTTTTCCACAGATATTGGTCATCCACAGTGTCGAGTTCTTTTTCGACGATATTAGGCTTAAAAGGACGTCGGTGCGTCGAGAAATTTCGTTTTTCTCAATTATGTTTTTATATATTTAACGTCAAGTTTTTAAACTTTCGCGGTCTATCCGAATTGATAGCGTCACGTTCTCGATGAGTTTGAAATTTCTGCGATCCATTCCTTACAAAAATGGCATATCTGGACTTATATAAC